CGGAGGCCAGCTGCTCGGGCGGACGCGCGCCCGCGCCTCTGGGCCCTCCTGGCCCGCAGCGCCGGGGAGCCCCGCCGTCTTCGGGGCTTCCCTTGGTAGCCTTCGTGGGGAGCCCTGTGGCCGCCCGCGCGGGGGGTTAACGCCCGCTTGCGTAGCGTCCCCGGAGCGCGCGGGCGCCGGCCACCCGCTGCCCGCAGAGCTTCGGGCGGCGATGGACGTGTTCTATCGCTTTGCTGACCTAACGGTCGCCACTCGCCACACGTGGCCACTGAGCAGTGACAGCACTGGGGCGACCGAGCACCGAAACTTGAGCTTGGATGTGATGTTTAAGATGAAGACAGTGGTCGTGCAGCTCCCACGGGCCGTATTGGCCAGCACGGGTATGAAGCGCAGGGCTTTGAAACCCGTTTGTGGATTGCTGGGCTTGTGCCGAGTTTTCGTTCTCTCGGCCGATGTGGACTTATAGTAAGTGACCATTCAGTGCGCTCCGTGCTTTTGGAGTGAGCGTGGGCAGCTCACCACAAGTCTCTCTCGTTCTTGTCAACTTCAAATGGAGGCGCCTTCGTTTAGGATCACTGACTTCTTTTGTGGGTGGCGTGTCTGGTGAGCCCCAGGGTGGGTGTCTGGTCTTCTGGGCGGGAGAATAATTTCTCCTCTTCTCTTTCTGTCTGGAATGTAGACAAAGCGTTGCTGTCAGTTCTGTTAACGAAGGCAATGGTACCGGACCCTTTGGGCAAGTTCAGCAGTCTTTCAAGTAGCACACAGGTATTTCATTAAGGTTTTACTTGTATTTAATTTGGAACCTGGAATGCCCAGTGTGTACGAAATAGAGTTCTCTTCGTGCGGGACCCTGGAGTTGAAAACCCCCGACTTGAACGTTGGAATTGGTGGGTAACCTTGGAGCCCAGAGAGTGTAAAAAGCATGCTCTTTTGTGTGATTCTGGAAGGTTTGGGGTCATTTGCAGGCTCTCAGGGTTATGAAATCCTGTGGGCCTTGGGTGGGGTGCTTGCCTTCCCTAGTTGTCTCCAGTGCGATCTAGGGCAGGTTACTTCATCTTCCTGAACTATAGCTTCCTCATTTGAAACACGGGCTGATACATTTGCGAAGATGAAATGAGAAGGAGTCTGATAGGAAATTAATTAGTAGTGGTTTCTGTAGCTGCCAGCAATATTCATGCATTCTCTCCATACTAAAGGCAGTATCTTACACACAAAATAGCATATGGACAAAAAACAACAACCAACCAATTGTTCTTCCACAGGTTTGGAAATAATCTTCCACAGACATTGTTTAGTTTGTGGTTTTTATTCATTTACGTAGGCTTACGTGTTTGGAGTATTTTTTGGTCAGTTAAAAACTTTGGCTTCCCAAGAACTTGTAAAGCAAACAGAAACAAAATTTCTTAGTAAAAACAGGTGCTACTTACTTCGTCATGGATAGTGAGAGCTGTATCTCTTGAGAAGACAAATGGTCTTAGAGCAGCGGTTCTCAACCTGTGGGTCGCGGGGTCGCGATCCCTTTGGGGGTCGAACGACCCTTTCACAGGGGTTGCCCGATTCATAACAGTAGCAAAATTACAGTGATGAACTGGCAACAAAAATAATTTTATGGTTGGGGGTTAGCACATGAGGTACTGTTAAAAGGTCACGGCATTAGGAAGGTTAAGAACCGCTGTCCGGAGAGAGATGGGAAATGAGTGTTCATTGTGCCTTCCTACGGGGGACATTTTAAATTTGAGAATAACTTTTCCTGAGTAAAGTGAGATCTGAAAAATTTGCAGTATTCTGTAATTGTGTGATTACCTTAGAGGTGACTTTATAATGAAAGTCCAATTTTAAGTAAATTACAATTTTCTTGAAAAAAAATAAATGCCTTGTTAACTTCTAAGTAACATTTAGGATTGAAATCTTGGTAGTTGAGGGAATTTGAAACATATGAGGAAGGAGAGGACTTTCCAGGGGAGGGAACTGGACATTCGTTTCTAGCACTAGTGCGCTTGGTTAAATTATTGTCAGTTGTTTGCCGTTAACACTTATTTTTAGAAGGTTGTGAAACTCTTGGTCATGTAATTATGATTCAGGGGTTTGTATTGAAAGTTAAATGGAAATAGTGAAGTTTTTTTGTTCCCTTTCTGTGTTTTTAAGTGTGTGTGTTTGTTAAAAAACTAATTGGCAACACAAGGTACCAGTTTTAAAAAATATTAAGTGTAATTCTCTCTTCATTTTAGATGGAAATCATATGACATAGAATATTTGGGTGCCATCTTCCTCACAGAGCTTGAAGAATTGCAGGTATTTTAAATTCAAAGATGACCTTCCCGCCACCCCCCCCTAAAGAAAAAATACCATAGTTAAGTTCAGTTGTGATTAGATAGTTACAACCCACAGAACAAATTTTTAGAACTTTCTATTGTGAATTGGGTGAAAGTTTATAAAGCAGATTATCAGTTTCACATTCAACAATTCATATGCATTTTGTTTCCTCTCATTCATTGCAATCCCCTAGTGTAACTTCACTTCTGCCACATGTTTTCTGTTTTCATTCCTCTTCCTTTCCTAACCCCTTTGAACTTTGTCCTTGGGTGAATACTGCCCTTTGGATCTCAAACGGTTGATTATTCTGAGACTTTCCTGCCCTCTTAGTGCTCTCACTCCTCTGAGAGACCTGTCTGTTGTTTGGCTGAAATGAAGTTACGAGGTGTGAGAGTGAGGGAGTGTGTGAATTCAGCTCCAGACCTGGAGGAGGATGACTGAGGATCGTAGTGTGAGGGTTCCACCAGTCTCTGACCAGTAAGCCTGGTCACTTGGGATTTTGAGGTTTGTCCCGTGTGTCTCCCGCCCTCCTCCCCGCCCACCCACCACACTTGATCCAGCACTTTCTAATGTGCTCCCTTTCAGAGCAATTGGTACTAGTAGCCAGGTACCATTTAGCTCTGGTCTCAGGGAGTTTGCTAGGTTCATTAGCCTGGTAGACTATTGTTTACAGGTATCTTCAGTCTTCATCACTTTGTTTTCTTAGGTCAGGTAGAGACCAACAGTTGTACCTTAGATTGCTGCTCCCAAATTTTATGCATACAAAACTACTTAACTCTCAAATAGACTATAAATATTTTATTGCTGCCCTATCATTAATGTGGGTTTTATAATTTGAACATTTATAGTTAACATAGCAAAGTTATACTCGCTGATTATTTATAATATAAAAAGTGGCTCTGTAGTCTTTCAGGCTGGTTAAGTTTTCCATATTCATGTTTTTTTTCTTAAATGGTTCTCCTTATTCATTTTTAATCTTTATTTTAGATGAGTGATTTTTTTAAAAGAGATACCTTGAAGTAGACTTTACCTTTACTTTTGTATTTACTCCAGATGTTTTGTAGATTGTCTACATACCAGTGAAATTACTCTGCATGTTAAGTTTCTATTTGTTTTTAGAATTAAATCACTGTCAGTATTGTTCCTTCATCATAGGACTTGTGCAGAAAAATTTGTGGGTACTTGGCCAAATCTCCTCTTAGATGAAGTTAGGATTTGTAACTTTAACCATGAGGGTTTTTTAGTAGCTGCTTCGATTTGAACTTTTTGTTCTCCCTAAATATTAGATTCTGGTCCTGATTCTGTCACAGAAATCTATATTGTTCTTTCAGTGTTGGGTCCGTTTTAAAAAATGAGCAAATCCCTTTCAATGGTCTGTGTCGCCACACAACGTTGACAAGGAAAGTGTGTGCATGTGTGTGTGTGTGTGTGTGTGTGTGTGTGTACACATGTGCATATGTCCAGCCACGTTTGGGGATGTGCTTCTTCCTTAAGGACTCTGGTGGGAAGGACAAGTGGATGGGGATTTGGCAAATATTCTCTTTCCTACCAGGCCCTTCATGTTGAGTTACCGGTGCATTGGCCCCTTCAGAAATGGTTTCCCCTGGTTTAAATAAGCTGACGGGGGATGATAATAAGGTTTCCAATGTGAAACCAGAGTTGGAATGGGCCATAGTTGGTGTAGACCCAGCACTGTCCCTTTTTGATTCTTCACGAATGGTTTCTGTTCCAACTTCTCATGGGGGGAAAAATAACACTTGTTTTTTGTTTTTGTTTTCTTTTCCACCCTTAGAAGACATAAACACTAATGAATTTGAGAAAGTGGTAAAGATTTTGGGGGAAGGGAAAAAGCACCTGCTTTCCAGATCTGCTACTTGGCCGAATGCTAAGATGTCTGTGGACATGAATAGCCAGGGTTCTGACAGTAATGAAGAGGACTATGATCCAAATTGTGAAGAGGAAGAGGAGGAGGAAGAAGAGGAGGACCCTGGGGACATAGAGGACTATTATGTGGGAGTAGCCAGTGATGTGGAGCAACAGGGAGCTGATGCCTTTGATCCTGAGGAGTACCAGTTTACCTGCTTGACCTACAAGGAGTCAGAGGGTGCCCTCAACGAGCACATGACCAGCTTAGCCTCTGTATTAAAGGTGAGTGTTGCCAATTCTAGGTGTTATTCCCCTCACTAAACTTGATGTGCGGCTGTAAGCCCATGATTCCTCTAGACCAGTGGTTCTCATTCTTTCCTAATGCCACGACCCTTTAACACAGTCCCTTATGTTGTGGTGACACCCCTCCCCCAAAACCATAAAATTATTTTTGTTGCTACTTCATATCTATAATTTTGCTACTGTTATGAATCAGGTAACCCCTGTGAAAGGGTTGTTCGACCCCACAAAGGGGTCTTGGCCCACAGGTTGAGAACCACTGTTCTAGACTGAATGGCCGTGTAGCTGGAAACCATTTTTAAGTACTGCATGCTTTGGAATACATTTGTTACTTACTTTGTTTTCAAATATGCAAATATTTAAAGCCCTTGGATTCTCAAATCACTAAAATTGGAAAAGAGAGATGTGATAGATTCTGAAAAGACAGACCAGAAATGCATAATCAGTAGGAGAGTTGCATGGACTAGTGTTTGTTTCACAAAATGAGTATTAATGAAATTTTGAGGTAAGATTTGGCAAGCATCAGAATCTCCACCATCTTCTATACAGCTGTGTTTGAGGGACTGAGAGGTATCCTGAAGGTAGCCAGATCAAACCCCCTTGTCTGCCCTGCTGAATAATAAGTGCCTCTGGTCTGATGAGCTCATTTGTTTCATGTACTGATTGCTAATGTCTAATGTTGAAGGAAATCATCTTAGTAATATTTAAGAAAAAAACAAAATTCTCACAATTGTAGTTTATTGGCTTTGATGGGCTAAGTATTATGGTAAATATGAAAATTTTAAAGAATGAACAGAATGGGTTATTCCAGCATGAATCTTATTTTTAACATTTAAGCTAGCAAAACTTTTGGCATCTTGGCCAATTATTATCCTTGCTATTTAGGTTTTTTACAGCCATTTAGACAACATTACAGCATGTTTCCTTCTCCTCCTCTAACATTGTCCATTCTGTGAAAGTGGGGACATTTATTTCAGTATTTCTGTTGACCTTCAGGAATTGTTAAATGAGTTTTGTTGTCTGGTCAACAAAGGTCAAGGGCATATAGACCTAATTTCAATCAAGTAAATACTCTTGTTGAATAAAAATAACTTAAGCTATGCCATGTATCATTTCTAGAAAAGTTGCTTTGTCTACTAGTTAAGGTTTTTTTCCCCCATAAGTGGTTCGCGTAGGCTAACTAGTACCTTGGATTTAGATTCGAGCACCTTTCCAAGGCTTTGTTAGCAACTGCTGGAAGCTTGAAGCTAAAGCTTTTTAGTGACTCCTCGCTAGGAGTGATTGCAGACTTCTCTTGTGTCCAGCACAAAACTGTTTGAGGACTAGGGACACATGGAACTTCTAGGTTTGGGATTTTTTTGTACGGTCGTTATGGGAGAGCAGGTGGCACCTCTGCTTTCAGAGGGCATTTCCTTGATAGAAAATGGCATTGAGTTATTTTCCCCTTACCATGTGTACTTCTCCCTTGCTGGCCAGTTTGTTTGGCTTTGTTCAGCTTGTCAGGTTATACATGTGTTGGTATCTGAAATTTGAAAGAGTTGTCAGGTGTGTGGATATGTGCTGTGTATTGCTCATTGACCAAGCCCATCAGGATGTTCTCGTTGAGTTCCATGGATACCCAGAAACTCACTATTAGTCAAGTTCTCTGTGTAGACTTCCTGCTTTTCTAGAAGTACCTGGACTAGTCAGCCTGCTTTCTTCCTAGACCTGCATATGGTATGCACCTGGGAAAGCCTCCCTTTTGCTTTCTCACCTTTAGTATTGGCAGTGCAACTTATGCTTTCCCTGGTGAACCTCCTGAGAGTCCATATGAAACAGAAACAATCATCACACCTTCCTTTAGTCCAGGGTTTCCAGCATGTTCTTCCCAGTTCAGTTATGGCTGTGGACACAAAACTGGAATAGACCAGCATTTTAAAAAATGGGGTGATCTGGAATGATACCAGAACAGGAAAAATTACTGGTTGAGGCCCTCCTGGAAACAGTCTCTCAGAATACAAGAACAGCCTAATCATCCCAATCTGAATGGGTGTCGCTCTCCATAGTCCTGGCAGTAATCTAGTCTTCCACATCAGCCTCCTGACAGGGCTCACTATGCAGCCGTATAATTTGAGTCTGTTCTGGTTCGTTTCATTGGCCGTGATTGAACCAATTAAAGGCCTTCGTTAGTCTTACTACCCAAACTAACAATCTGTCTGTGTTCAGTCATATACTCTAGAGCAGGGGTCCTCAAACTACAGCCCGCGGCCACATGCGGCCCGCCGAGGACATTCATCCAGCCTGCCGGGTGTTTTTGCCTCGTTTTGTTTTTTACTTCAAAATAAGATCTGTGCAGTGTGCATAGGAATTTGTTCATAGTTTTTTTTTTAAACTATACTCTGGCCCTCCAACGGGTCTGAGGGACTGTGAGCTGGCCCCCTGTTTAAAAAGTTTGAGGACCCCTGCCTAGACTTCTGACTGCTTTCTATTGTTTCAACTTTTCATATATTTTTTTATCGTCTCTCCAGCCAGATTGTCAGTTTCTGGAGGGCAGAAGCTGCCCTTATACCTTGTCTCCACCATCATTCCTGTCATGTTGCTTTACCTGTGGAAGTGATCGAATCCTTTCTAGAGGGTCAGCTTCTGCCAGAGTTCCGAGTCTCTGTTCTCCATCCTCCTCGCTCTCCTGTTCTGAAGGACAATGTCATTGAGACCGAGAGGAGAGTTAGAATAGTAATTTGGAACAGAGATGGAGGAATAGAAACAGGGGGCAAAGTTGAAATGGGGAAATGTTAAAAAAATAGCCAAAGAGAACAATCCACATAAATAGTAGATAGTGGTGGTGGTGGTTGCCATGGAGTCTATTGTATTCTGATTCGTAATAACCCTATATGACAGTAGGACTGCCCGTTAAGGTTTCATAGACTAATTTTTAAAGGAGTACATGGCCTCGTCTTTTTCTCCCCTGGAGCCACCTGGTGGGTCTAGACTGCTGACTTTTCAGGGGAGCAGCCAAGCGCTTAGCCATTGGACCACTCGAGATCCTTTAGATGATGGTGGAAGACCTATTTTTTCCCTCCCTGACCTCCCTGAAGAATGTGCTCATTTCTTCCTGGGGCTGGGTGGCAAGAATCCTGGCACTTTCCGTGATGGGTTTCCAGGGCAAGGGACTTGGTAGTGTTGTAAAGGGCAGGTAGAAGCATCTGGGCAACAGCGGAAGAGAAAGGCATCATTGCACACAAACTTCTCTAAAGCTTTGTCCTAGTAACGACCATTGCTTTTGATTTTTGTAAATATTTTTTGAGAATGGATGGAATATTTCCAGGGCTGCATTCACTGTCTCATTTGTCTGAGAGGGAGTTGATAGTGATGGTCACCCAATCATATCTCTGCACCACTCATTTTGCCGTGCATCATGATCCTGCTTGTATAACTACCATCACACTGAATCCTTTTGTATAGCTTAGGTGCTGTTTGGCTAGCAGGAAATGTGGTGCTTAAAATTATGGTCTCATCAACAGCTGGCTGTGAACAAAAGCCATCCAAGTTTGAGAAGTGGCTTGAATTTTTTACTGAGAGTTCTGTGTGATTTGTCTTGTTGTGTGCAAGCAGTTACCTGTGGGTGAGCAGTTGTATCACCTAAAGGCATTTGGAATTTGACTTCTCTAAAGTAGAAAAATCCTGAATGTTTTGGACATTGGACTTTCGGTTTAGTGAGAGCTCTTTATTTATGTGTCCTGGGACCACCAGTCTGAAAGTAACTTCATGAATTCAGAGAAAGGAAATTGCCCAGAGAATCAGATCGGGCTGAGGACAGACAAAAATGTTTATATCTTCCTAGGGGGAAACTTGGTGTTCACATGTAGTGGGCAGGACACCACAGAAACATTATTTGTGAACTATCATTTTATACAAACAGTTGTGAGAGATGAGATGATTGCCAGAAAAGGTGTTGTGTTGCAGGGGAGAGGAAAATCTCCTATAAATTATGTTTAGCGCTCACGCATGAATCTTTATAAAGAAACCAGTTACCTTTTTTTACACACACCATACTTATATTTTTATATGATATGTGTAAGAAAAATTACTGTGTTAAAGATGAGAGAGGCCCTTTCCAACAAGAACAGGCATTTTTATTGCAAAAGATGCCATGGTTAGCCAAGAAGAATTTTGTCAATTGTTCAATGAACCTTTTTAATGTTATGCTGTGGACTCTCAGTTGTGTGTGGGCCACCTGCTTGAGAAGGGGATCAGCCTCAATTGAGCGTGTGACAGAGCCATGACAGGTTGGTTGGAATGGGCCAGGTGTGTCTCCTACTTAGTAAGCTCCCCTTCTCTTGACCAGGTGTTAGGGGTGTGGACAGGAGAGGAAGGTTCCACCCATTTGCTTCAGGTGAGAAAAAAATGTGGGGGTACTTTTCAAAGTTTGTGGGAAAATTCCATTATCTTTTCATTCTACTTTTCCACACGTCTTTGAACACCCCTACCTCCCAAGGCGACTTTGGTCTCTGGTCCATGGAGCTACCTACAGTGAGCTTTTTGAGGCAGGAGCACCATGCGGGTGCAGGCAGGTAACAAGCCCAGGGTGGTGAGTAGGTTGGGTTAGAATGGCAGACTAAGATGTGTAGGGATAAGAGGACAGCATTTAGAGGCTCATGAATGCATCCTGAAGCATCTTTGCCATTAAAGGAGAGGAATAGAATTTGAAAACTTCTGCAGCATTTGAGTGTTTGCTCATTGCTTGTTTCTCAAACCTGTGTCCCAAGATGGGATTGGAGAAATAAGCTGATCATTGTAAATGTTTTTATTTTGGTTCTTGCTCTCTGCCTTGCTGTACTGGCTGCTGTAGAGTGGGGGACATGTTCCCTAGAAAACACTAGTCTAATATTCTCTGGCTTACCAGTAAATTTGTTTCAAAATTGAATGTTTCCTATTTGGCTCAATGTGTCTGGAAAATCTTTCTCAGATTATTTTTCTGTAGATCATTTCCCCCTTATGGATGA